GCCCCGGACAGACGCTGCCCAGCTTAGCTGGGAGACGTTTTGGGGAGGATTAGCTGTCTGCAGGAAATATCCCAGCTGCTGTCTCCAGACGGGGATTTATCCCAGTGCTGGGAGGGGGGAGCTTGAGCATCCCATCCCCACCAGGCACCGAAAAAGGATTTCTGGGGGGGTCCTGGGGTGGTCACAGGGGGTGAGCGGGTGCTGCAGCCCCTCCATATCCAGCTCTCTCTCTGCAGCCCTGCCAACACTCCTGCTTTGTACAAGTCTCACAAGTTTGTCAGGCCTCAGCTCTCAGTGGGAGGGTGTATCAGCTGATGGTGTCCCCCCCCACATCCTGGGGTGGTGGGAGGCCGGGGGGCAGGAGGCCACGGTGAGGGGCTGCCCCTGGTAGCGCTGCAGGGCTGGCTCTGGCCGCAGGGCTGACGGGCCACGCCGAGGTGGTGAGGGTCATCTTCGACCCCCGGAAGATCAGCTACGAGGAACTTCTCAAGGTCTTCTGGGAGAACCACGACCCCACACAAGGTAGGGACAAGCCGCCAGGGCCAAGCAGTGGCCACGGGTCCCCGGGCAGCCCTGGGACAGTCTGGGGGGGCTTAACCCCAAACTGGCCCCAGCTGGGGGGTCCTTGGCATCTCCATCCCTTGGTGCGGGGTGCAGGGGGGGGGCTCACAGAGACTTACCTCACTGACCCCTTTAACAGGACCCCACAGCCTGTTCTGCAGCCATGAGTTGCCCCTCCCCGTGCCTCAGTTTCCCCATCCATGGGTGAAGGAGGCACCCACGGCACTGTGCCCAGTTGGGACAGCGGGTGCCCCATAACCCCCTCCTGGGTGCTACCCCCCAGGCATGCGGCAGCAGGAGGACCTGGGCACCCAGTACCGCTCTGTCATCTACACGCTGGGCCCCCAGCAGCAGGCAGCTGCCCTCCGCAGCAGGGCGGTGTACCAGCAGGTAGGTGGGGACACCGGGACACCCCTGGGGACACCGGGACTCCCCTGGGAACAGCAGGACTCCCCTGGGGACACCAGCCACCTCCAGCATGGGGCAAAGCCCTACCCCGGCTATGCCAGGCCATGGGGCAGAGGGATGGGGGGGGCATCACAGCTCCCCCCCGCCACCACCACCACTGTGGGACCATCCTAGGAGCTGAGGGAGCAGCGGTGTGGCGATGTCACCACTGTCATCGAGCCGGCCGGTGACTTCTACTACGCCGAGGACCACCACCAGCAGTACCTGCACAAGGTGCCTGGGGGCTCCTGTGGCCTGAAGGGCACCGGTGTCACCTGCCCCCTCACACCCTGAGCGGCCACCTCGTGCCCCCTGGCTTGTCCCCACGTCTCCAGCGCGGCAGGCAAGGTGGGGGCAGCAGCCAGGCCCAGATGCCACTGCCGGCCCCACACCCCCC